TTGTAGATCTTCTTCTCCATAGCTTTTACTGCTTTTATCGGAATCTTGTTCTCGGCCTTCTCCCGGTGTAGAGAAGTGAAGTAGACGAGTGTCAGAAGCTTGGAAACTTTGCCTGCATGTTCCTCATTATTATCACCATCCAAACTAATTAGTAACATCCAAACAGGAGCTTCCAGGTTGAGTTTCTCTATCATATATGACATGGCTGATGATAAATTGGTCAGAGAAGCTTCAAGAATGCTGCATGCCAATTCTAATGTTGAAATTAAGTGCTGAGGTTGAGGTCCTTCTACTTTACCATTTGCTTTTGAATCTTTAGCAAGTAATGGGCAGAAAATATGTGACATAATGCTTATAGATAGCTCTGGCTCCTTTCCTCCTAATCTGTCTAGCAGTTCAACAATAAACTTCTGACTTTCACGTACAACATACAGACTCTGATTTTCACAACAGAGTTGTAAGACAGACTTCCATGCATCTGTAAAGAAAAAAAAATTATAATTAATAGCACCCCCAAGATGATGCTGAAGGAGATCCCATGGATTGACCTCCTCGACATCTCTCTTGAGCCATTATGCTCCCTCCCCCCAACTCCAGTGTAATGCCTCGTATTCCCTGTCAGCTGTCTAAGCCACTGTGTTCACAGGAATGTTGATAGCGGTAACCTTTGCTAGCAACAGAGCTGATGTAGACTGGAGGGGGGCTTAGGGGAATACAACAGTAAAGAAACCTCAAATACTGTCAGTGCCACCAAACATAGGGCTTCTTTCTGCAGCCTCAGTACTAACAATAAGGAATTCAGTTATCCAGAGTTAGAGGAGATCAGTTTTGACTCTGCCGAGTTGAAACGTAACAAAGTAAGTGTAATTATAAATATATGGCTTTTTAATGTATATGTTATGAGAAGCTTGACAGAAGAAGGGGATGTACATTAATGAAAAGGGTAAGACTTGTGTAAAATATAAGGATGCATGCTGTCTGTGTACTTAATCATCACAGTGTGAAGATGGGGGGGGCATATATAAAGCTGCAAGTTTTCTTAAAGTTGGTAGATAACTGTAGGGGTTGGTGCCTTACCTGTCTGCACAATCCACTTACAACCTGAATCGTGTTTCAGTAGGCCAGAAAGCATTCTAACATAGGCCAGTTTCACTGATGAATTTTCACAATTCTGGTGTTTTAGCAGCCTGCTTACTTGCCCAACCACATCAGTAATCTGTAGTAATTCAAATCTCTTCCAATCACCAACCACCAACCCCATGAAATGCAATGCAAAGGAAGCCAAAGGAGGTTCTGGGCGTTTGTTCTTCCATGTTTCTACCATTTTCTGAATCCATTCTTTGCACACTGGAAGATCTATGAGTGAACTACTGCTTCCTGAAATATAAATAACATGTTAACTATGTCGTCCCTTAAAGTGACGAAGAACTCAATTACTGTCGACATTATTGTCATACCAGACAAATGGGTGAGAAGCTTTTCCATATAAATATCATCACTGGCACCACTTTTGTAATTAGAATCCATGAAACGCTGCAAAACACGCTCCAATTTAATTTGTTCGGGAGAATCAGCCATGTTACAGACGATGTTATTGCACAATCAACATTTCATGCCAGACACTCCCCTCTCTTCATCCTATTAAGTTTGTCCAGATTTGTTCAGTCTAGGAGTATATATGACCTTCGTTCTCCGTACATCCTATTAAATTGGCAACAAATTACATGAAGCTGTTTCTTTGTGGTTATGTATGTTCATAGGGTCAAAGTGTCACATAGACTTCACAAGACGTTAATGTTTGTTTTTTTGATACAGCATAACGTACGTAATCGTTTTAATGAAGGATATTACGCGATTTATGTAATCAACACTGGCTCTTTTTAATACTTAATCTAAACAAGATAATATAGACCAAATCCACTTGTTTTGCTTTTATCTCAACCTTGGATCTTAAATTGAGCATTGCATTAATCAATACAAACATTGATCGAAGCTCTGTGGTCCAAAGGGTCGATAGCATAATTTGTACTGTGAAGGGACATTTCATTCTCAAGTACCTGGGGATAACGGAGATGGTACCCCTGTCAGGCTCTTGTAACTTCTGCCATCTGTATCATCAAATTGTAACAAGTTTTTAAAATGGTGCAAAAGTTATTGTAGTTGTCTTTTGTGGCAGTCATTTTAACTATTCAAAAGGATTGAGCTTAAGGTATAAGTGGTTTTAAAGTCAGTAACGTAACATGAAGACTATGGGTTTATATTTATACTTCTATGAATATTAGGTGAGTCTATGTAGTTAATAAGGAACAAAACAACGTTGTTAGGCGTCTTGTGATATGCACAAGTACTGCAACAAATATACCAGGGTCCGTTTCAGATTTTGATTATAATACATTCACATTATTCATAAAAGTGAAGCATAATGTTCAGCTGAATTTTCGTTAACATTTAATTGGTATGATTGTATTTTATGAGTTATACTATAGTTAAAAATAATCCTTATGGGCATTCAGTTGATGAGAAAAGAGAATTTTTAAGTCTAAAAATGCTAATGACGAAGAAACTCGCCGTGGCTAGTTACAGAAGAGAATGAACACTGTATACACGAATTTTTCAACAACTGTAGGTTAAATATATTTAATTTGTATGGTCTGTAGGAAATGAATTGTTATTAGGGGTATGTTGTATTTAAAGAAAATGAACTGCTTGATTTTGCCGTTTGAATTTCACATTGTGATTTATTGGGTGGCAGTGTCAAAGTGGCCATTACAATTTTATACACTCCATTTTATTACTTCTTTCTTGTCTTTTCTTTTCTAGTTGGTGCAACTGAGTATATTTGTACATTGAACTAGTTTGTGTGTAAAATATTGGGAACTCTATTATATTGAGTGTTATGATGACATTGACAAATTATAAGGCAAATGCACCAGTTTTGACATTCCAGAATTTGAAGGTGGTGGTTGGCATGCAGTAATTGACTCATTTATAGGATACAAACTTTATTTATTTAGCACTGCATGCAATAATATTTCCTGGGTGATTACCTGTAAAAATGTTCCTTGTAATGGCAATGAAAGAACAAAAAATTAAACATGCTTATTGATTTGCATTGTTGAATTTTTAAGTCTCGATTACTATAAATATTACGTTGGCATTTTAAAATACAGTGTGACGGTAACAACTTATAATTGCATTCATTAAAATGTTAAAGGTACATTAGAAATGGGCACTGCTTCTTACCATTGTGTTTACTTAAAAAGAGCTTTGCAGAACAATTAATTTGCCATTTGGTTTTTGTCTCGCTCTCATTAAGGGAAGACCACAGACTGTGAGTGAAATGTCAGGTTCTCATGGTGGAAAGTTTAAAGGTGACTGGCTGAGCGCAGAGGTTAGCTCTTCAGACATGCTTGTGACTTTATGAGGAGGGCATGTTGTGTGCACGGGATAAGTGAGAAATTGGCACAAAGTTTTTGTCGGGAAGTCTAAAAGGAAGGCTTTTCGGGGTAACACGCCGCGTTGCATCCAGCGCCTGCAGCAGATGTTTTGCTTTGTTTGTAACGCCATGCTAGATTGTTATTACTTCAGTTACAAATTATCCCATCGAGATGAAGTTGCTGCTTATCTAATCTGCCCCATTTGGATATTTCCGCAGGAGTTTTGCTCTGCTCCTGCTCCGAACAAGATAACTAACTGTCCTTATGCCAGGATGCTCATTTCGTACCAGAGGCCATTATAAATCAGACTTGCAGATCGTCTTCACCCTTTCGTGCGCTTACTCGTGTCTGCAGTCTCCGGGCGGACACTTCGACCAACACAAGAACCGAAACAGCCTTTATCCAGCTGCAGAAATGTTCATTAAAAACAAAACAAGTAAACTGGAGACGGGTTCGCGTTGTTTTCCAAAAGAGCAATCTCGTCACGTGGGGTCAGCCAGCCATGCCGACGTCCTGTCAGTACAAGACAACAGAGACGGAAGTGCTTCAGGTTCGTGCCCAAGTCGGGGGGGGGGGTGGTATTTGCGCCATTGAACTGACAGGTCCTGCTGGCGTCGTGCTATTCACTTCTTTGAAACAAGTGCCTTAAATTTCAGCAAAATAAACATGCGCCCGAGATCGTATATAGGCTTCCCGCATCACTCGAGTGCAAGAGAAGTTGTCGCACCAGCACGGCGCGGCGCTCGTTCAGAACTGAACGGTGGGCGAATTGAACAAAGTGTAGGCCAACGACAAGGCAGTGAAACACCTTCGAAGGTTTGCGGTCGCTGAGTTTGAAAATGGGTCAGATCGATGCCGATTATGGGGACATTTAGGTTTTTTAACACGAATTTCTAGTGGCCTGCTTTTATTGCTTGTGTCTTGAGTGGACGACGCACGTGTCGTTGAGACGATACGGGCAAGCATTTGGTCACAACGGATAATGGCGTCGGTGAATGAATGCTGGGAGCTTTGTCTCCACGCTCCACACACCCGTTAGCCGTACGTATTATCTCAGATTCGACAGACGTCGTGCCTCTTTTGATTTGTGGCGCTAGAAACCGCACGTGGCGGATTGATTCTCTGTCATTTCTTTTTTAAGCATTACTCAGCAAAGGTCGTGCTTTGGCGTTACGCAGATGGCCGCCATGAAAATGCCAGGTAGAGTGAGCGATCACTGACCGAGCTGCTTGTCCCTTGTCTTTAGAATGAGGCTCTGGCGTATGTACAGTTGGTGCTCGGTTCCTTATTCGGGTGGTAAAGCGGTCGGAACGCGAAGCTACAACTCAGCCAAGTCCGCATCTAAAACTGAGGTCTGGTGCTTGGACACAGCGTTCCTTACATGTATGAGAGTGGCGTATTTGTTTAACGACGCCTTTTCGGTAGCTCAGACTGTGTAGCGTCCAACTGAATAACGAATTGCGAGTCGCACATCGCCTGCAGCGACCTTTCAAACGCGGAGTGTGGGTGTCGTGGGCATTGCTGCCGGGCTGTTTCATTTGTCAGTCACGAGCAGCCCCTGACATCCGCCGCCGACCACGGTCTCTGTGCATGCGTACTTCTTACGAGGCAAGCCAGATTCAATTCGCAAAGGTAATTTCGCGGTTGAATGGCTGAACTGTGATCACAGAATCGATATTTCTAATCCGACCTCACAGTCCCCTTCGTAACTGGACATAAAAATGTGGCAAATCTCGTTACGCTTCTCAGCAGAACAGCTTCCAGTCCTTTAGACGGGTGACGCAGTGTCAGCTGTTTTCCATTTCTTTTCGTAGTGCCTCTGCGGACTGCGGGAGGTCGTGGGTCCCAGATGCTGCCTCGGCGGTGGAATAGATGTAAGACGGTGCGCCATATTTGTCTCAGAGAAACAAACATCAGCAAATTAGGTGTGGAAATTTGGGTGTTGTGGTGGGTTGCTTCGGATTCGATTGGACTAGACTGATGGCAGAAAGAGGGAGGCGAGGGAGATTAGAAATCGGAATAAAGTGTTTTGTTTGGAAAACGTAAGGGGACCGGATTCAACTATCTGCCTCTAGTAAACACGGAAATTGAACTTGGGATTTCCTGAGCCGCCAAGCAGGAGGTCTCAGCTTTTGAATGAAGAGCGTGCAGTTGTACTACGCCGGAAAGAAGCGCTGCATGCAAGCCGTGTGTGCCCCCCCCCGAAAGGGCTATGGCTCTCGGTGGAGCCGCGACGAAATCATCTGTTTCGGCGGCGAGTAAGGGGTACGACGCAGTACCGCAGAGCAACCAGTGCTCAAGGTCTGGGATGTCGTAACCCAAACATCGATTTCCTCACGACAAGTGGAGATTCTCAATACAGGAACCCGGAAGCCCACTTCCGCGCGCCAGAGGCGTTGTTTACTTACGACGACCTTATGGCACTTTTACGTTCAGCTGAACATGGTGGCAGTGGTAGACAACACAACTCTGAAATACAATGAAGCGTTTGTTGAGGAAACTTGTACAGAACGTCAGTCGGCCTCAAACTGCTGGCTGCCTCATGGCCCAGGGGTAACGCACCTTGTTCGGTTTGAGCCTCGGTGTAGGCATCGGCTTCCTGGCCCGTTTTACCCAGTCTCTGCCTCAAAAACGTACTTCGTATTTATAACGCAAAATCCCAGGAGGTCGAATCAACTTCGATAAACAAATTACGGACTTCTTCAGGTTGGGTCGTCTAATGTTGCCGTTTGGGTGGATGTGACGGTGCCGGCACCACTTCCGACGACAGGCCGGAAGCCGCGGTTCTGCTGGTCGGTGGGAGAAAACCACAGCGCGTCACTTTCCGACGTTTTTCCCACAGGCGGGGTCTGCGGTGCTCTGCATTCCGAACATTTTCCTGCCAGTCAGCTCACGTCGTGTAACGCTTGAGGTCTTCGCGGCGGCAGAAGATTACCGACGTTTCAGCGGTCTCTGCTGCCTCCGTCGTCGCTCTGATAATGTTATCTCAGCTGTCGAAATTCGTGACGTGCAGATGAGCAGGAAGGAAACGCGAGTGGATTATCCGGAGGCATGCGAGGTTATCTTCTGCTGCGATGACGGCGAATTGTGAAGAGGCAGGACTCAAATTAGTGACTGCGCTCACAATGGGTTCGCGTCAGACTGTGCGCTTTTATCAGACAGAGATCGATGTCAGATAAGACTGCGCGCACATGGATGAAGCCGTCATCCGCCTAAAAGTCGTGTTATTTCACATTAAACTATGAACTTAAAGACGAAAGTCGAGCCAGGCCGGAGTCTGCGCAGTTACACAAACTGCACGGCGACATCGTTTCTTCAGTTTTATTCAACTGCGTTAGTAGTACGAGAACCAGCCCTTAAATAACCCAATAACCGATTTATGCAATCTTAGTTGAAGCCAGATGATCTCTGCAGTTGATACAACGTCCTTAAAAAGACGTGTTCTTCCAGCTGTAAAGAACAGCAGTCGTAGCGAGTATAACCGGTGTGTGGATCAAGACGTCCCGAACGTGAAGCAACTTCGTCAGTCAGATTTTCAGAAGCTTACAGTCTCTGGTTATTGGCTTCTGGTCTGCAGCGCCGACAAGAGTCCTGTAACCCTGAAGACAGGCGCCCTCACACCCACCGCCTCTTTCGTTCTGTATTAAAACGAAACCTCTGCTCTTGTTTCTTGTTTCATTGGCAAAAAAGTTTTGC